ATTTTATGTTGTCACTGACTGTACATCGATGACTGCGCAGCGGTAATGAGCAAGTGTAATATTTTCTGAAATAGAATCGAAAAGCGGGCAAGTTGGAACCCTGGTGGGCAGCGCACAAAAAGAAAACACACAAAAGAAGGAAACACGACAAGCGCTTGTCTTGTTTTTTGTGTGTGTTTTCTTTTTGTGCGCTGCCCACTATGAATAATAATCTATTTCTGAGCACAAAGAAAGCCTTTTTGTTATCATTTTTACGCAGAGCCATCTGCTGATAGAGACGAGCAGAAATCAAGTGAAACGGTCCACTGTGACCGTCAAATGGATGGCGCTTGCCTTCAGCGGAATTCACATACGAAATGGCAGAACTACAGGTGTGTGGGCATTTTCTTTAGATTAGCGCATCTTAAAAGTTTCTTTCTTGGCACATACTTTTTTTACTGCAGGCAAATATTATTATGGATTACTCCGGTGATCATAAGACTTCCGTTTCTCGCTATACTGGACCGCGACGACAGCGATATGCAGCTTATTTATTTACTTATTTATTTATTTATTTATTTATTTATTTATTTATTTATTTATTTATTTATTTATTTACAAATACTGCTGTCCCATGCCTGGGACATTGCAGGAGCGGGTACAGAAAAATCAACGAAAGCACAGAAACAAACAATAGTGCGCACAAATTTATGTGACTAACACATAAAATTTTTTCCGAACTCTACAGTGTTCATTCTACGCGATGCACCATCAAGCTTGTTACAAACTTCCACCACACGCGGAAAAAAAGAGAATTTGAAACAATCCAAACGAGACCTGAAGGGTACAAGGTTCAAAGCGTCTGTACTACGTGTTGTACGCGCTGGTATATCAGCGAAAGATAAGGGCGCGTGAACGCGGGTCATTTTGTGTACAATCTTGTGCAACAAGATAATACTCTCACGTGTACGGCGGTGTTCCAGTGAATGAAGTGACAACAAATGAGCATGTGAAGACGGGGAGAAGTCCCGATTATAACGGTTAAAAACGAACTGTATAGCCTTATTCTGCACAGATTCTAACCTGTTTTTATCTTGCTCAAGATGAGGCGACCAAACCACACAGGCGTACTCGAGCAGATATTGGCGCATATTACATTTGTAATGTATGTAATGTAAGGTTTTCATACCCTTACGTGCAGCTTCCGCACCTCTGCCACTAGTTTAGTATTGCTGCATAACTTTCATGAGATTTCCCCACTGAGTTAAGTCACTGTCGAGTCTGCTCAATCGGCAAGCTGGCTGTCCTGTCAGTTTGTTCATCGTCAACTTTTACTGCAGTAGAATCTGCTGCTCAGTGGGGCTCTCTGAGAAAGGGAACAGTCGGGGGGGGGGGGGGGGAGCAGTGTTCCGCGTGCACATGGTCACACCTTTTTCGTCACTGTTCAAAAAGCCATACGGCTACCCAGGTTTCGGATGATATTTGCGGTCGAAGGCCCCCCTCATGTTACATTTCAAGGGCTGTTTACCGTACTTCTCACATGTTTACTCCCGAAACGGCAAGGACCAAATGCAGGTCATGTGTGAGAAACACGTCATCACTTCATCCTCATTGCTTCGTCCATTGTTAAACATGCTGTTCTTTCTAATCGACCAACGGGGCGGGCGCTGAGAGAAAACTATGCCTTCGCCCCACCCGCCGACGGTGAACCCATATATGCACGCCTATTGCGATGGACCAAAGCCTAATTAACCATGCAACGTTGGTCACTTTTACTCATTGCAGTGCCACTCTCTTCCTGAGCGAGGGTTCGCAAGGTGGCCACTTCGTCTTCACCAGTCGCTTGAGCTCCGAAATACGCGTAAGAATTCGTTGTTGTTTTGGGGCACAACAACGTATACCTCATGTGGCACGAAACGCTCCGCGCTTTTTACTATTTTACCACACTTACGCGCGTCATGAAAGCTTTCATTGCTGAATATCACCGGCTTAGGTCGTAGTTAAAGAGACAGCTAATGTCGGCTGGTGTTGGCTGAGTTGGTTTTTCGGTCTGCTCATGGCTTAAATGTCGGCTAATGCCTTCTAACGTTTGCTGTAGTGTTTGCTTGCTTTTGACAGAAAGCGTCTTGGACGCCGCCGTTATCCTCTTTGAACTTTGCTAAATAGACATGACTCTTAACATTACACTGCTGAGGCTAGGAAGTCAGCCATTGTACTCCCGTTCCACCGTGCAGAAATTGCGGTGTTTTGCTGAGCCTTCACAAGGTCTATTGACAGACGTTACCTAATTCTGAGAGATGATTGCTAAAGAGCGTGCGTGTTGGTTGTTGTACGTTATTGCTGTTATAATAGAAATAAAAATTTTTCAGTCATTCACCTGAGAGTAAAATATATTATATCCTCGCATTGCACATTCAATCTCAGTTGCTTTGTCTGTATGTTTTTGTTATCTCGTTATCTGTCCTATTTCCCCATTTAGGTTATCACTTTCGAGCGCTGAAGTTAACTTGGTCACTATAGTTGTCGGTCGTGAGGAAGTAATGCAGAACAGCCTTCGTCCAGACCTTTCCGTCGTCTCCCTGCAGGCCGTCGTCCCTGCCAAGTGCGGGCGGGCCGTGATTGCAGCCAGCGACCAGCCCCACAGCTACCGGCCACTCCCGAACGCAAAGGGCTGTCGTCTCGTGCTCGGCTTCACGCACGCCGCGCTCCAAAGGGACAGGAGCAGGGAGGCCCTCCAGACTGCCGTGTACGAGACGCGACGACGGCTCCGAGATCGCCGCCAACCCGGCAGTCGCTCGAGCCACTCCACAAGCACCGTATTCTTCGTGCGACGGCTCAACAAGCACGCGCCCGTGTCGTATCGGTGCCGCGTTATGATAGTCTTGGGCGGCATCATGCCAATCCTGGCGTGCTACGTCTGTTTCTTCTCCGTCCAATACCACAACCACCTCTATCCTCACAGGAGGTTGGACTTCGCTCGGGTTTTCAACAAATTCGTGAATTGAATTCTTGAATAAAGCATTGCTAAAGAAAAGGTGTCGTCAACAATGCTATAAGTGTGCAGTCATTGATTGCATACTGCAAGTTATAACATGTGGGTCCGAAACATGGGGGATAAGAAAGCTACCGGAAATAATGTTGAGGACCACGTACGCACGTAGCGAAATGATTAGAGAAACATGAAGTCATCGAAGGATGACTGTATTATTAAGAGAACGACAAGGATTGCGTGTACCATGGTTGACGTCAAGCGAAAGAAATGGACTCGCCACGTAATTCGTAGAATAGACAAGGAAGAGCTACAGAGTGGTTGCCAAGGGATGGGGAAAGCAGCCGGGGAAGACCGAGAGTTGGATGGAGTGCTGAAATTCGGAAGTTCGCAGGGATAAAATGGAATTGACTTGCACGGGATATGGTAAACTGGAGATCGTTGGGAGGGGCCGTTGTCCTGTAGTGGACTAAAACACGGTGACCGTGATGATGATGTAAGAAAACATGACTCACGGCCCGGAAAGGGACAGATGAACGTGAAGGAGGTTTGTTACATGTGCAGTGCCACAGAAGAAAAGGTGAGTGACAGGAACACCGTTATTATTGATCAATAAAGTAGAAACAGTCGCGTGTGTTACCGTCACTAGCGTGCTTATTTGGGCTGGTTTTGCTTGTTCAAGTAAACGAGAAACAGCGCGAACCACAGGACAAATAACAGAGACGGATCAAGCGCTAACAGCCCAGCGTTATAGTCAGTGCTAGGTTGGGGGGATGGGGTAGACACTCGCCACAAAGGAATGAAGGGATTATATTATTATTATTATTATTATTAATATTATTATTACGATGACCTAAATGATTGGTTCACACCCGTTCTGGGGGACTGAAAATATTGAGGGCTCGTTTTTTTTTTTTTTTTTTTTTTACACATTACTGGTTCATAGTTAGTTTTCAGTCAGTCCACCTGTGTCAAAGGTTACGCAAAAAAAGGGAAAAAAGATAAAGAAAAAGCCAGCTCTCAAAATTTATTTCCTTCATCCATTCATACCCAGGGTCTTGTTCAGTATACGAGGCCTAATATTGGTTTAAAGATTCACGTGCTGCGTGACACTGCCTGGTAAAAATAAAGAGAAAAGAAAAAGAAACATTCGCCGTCTGCCTACCAGTGGCGCTTAATTACTAACACTCCCAGGTTTTCATGCACATAAATATCCGATAAGTGGACCCGGGGGCCGGCGGGCGACTAGTGATTGCAAAAGAGAAAGAGAAGAAAATGCAGCCCGTAGTGTTTTGCACAATCATATTGTCACGGGGTCGTGACGTGGACCAAGGGAGCAGGCTGCAGGTGGAATGTTAAACTGTTTATTCGGGCCGAGCTTGTGGCCACGTAAAAGGAAAGTTAGATTAGAGCGAGACACTGGCACTGGTATAGAGGCGAGCAGAGCGTCGGCCGTCGATCAACTGACAAGCGGCGAAGCGTGACGGCATTTATACACTCGCCTTCGAACATTCTAGTGTTATAGCTAGTGGCAACGTAGGTTCCAAATAATCTGGAATGCTCACGACGTAGGCGTAATCTCAACAAAATGATCTACGACAGGCCTGAAGCTTCTGGAACAATGTAGGCGTGGTTTGCGCTGAGAATCGCGTACAGCGTAACGGGGTGATAAGAAAACTTGAGGAAGGAACGTGGCATTATATGTCAAAACTCAACGACGCAGCCGAACGTAGAGCACAGTGACGCTTAAAATGCGTGGGCTGGAAATTAAACACTAAATTTCAGAATCTGGCTACGTGTGATTACGTGAAATAAAACGAAAAAAAAAAACAATTGGCTTGCTCTATGATAGTTTATCTTCTTTTTTGGGGGGGTGGGGGGGGGGACTTGGTTGATGAGCACACGATCTGCAATTTTGTTTGTTTTTACACAAAAGCTCATTGGCCGAAAGCAAACAGCAAGTTTGACTTCATCGTAGATTTTGTTGCCAACAATGTAACGACGCATCCACTACGAGTCAATCCGTAGACAATCCATGCTGTGCACTTGGTAAACAAAAAATGGCGTTTAAAAGAGAGGGCACGGATACAGCGCTGTTGCAAGACTTGCAGGTGAGCGTTCTTTAATTGGTCACACTGTTTTTAATAGTGTGACGTACAGATGTATTTTCTCACTGATCATTTTGTTATCGTTATACACGAGCACGTTGGTACGAAGCCGCGCCCACACAGCGAAACTAGCCGCATGTGCATCAGCTTTCAAACTCGTGATCACCACTTCCTTGCTCTTGTTTTCATTGTGCAGAAACGTCGAGTTAGTGAAATTCTTGTGAGCCACATACCGGAAGACGAAGCACTTCTTCTCAAGAATGGAAAGTAAGTGCTGGTGAAAGTTTCCATAGCGCGTTGGTGAGCTGTGCTGTGGAAACTGCTATGTCTGTTGACCCTGATAACCTTCTCTCTATTTCAGATACGCGTGCACGCTGTGTCCACATCGACCTGTCCTCGACACCATTGAAATGCTTGCCATGCACAGAAAAGGAAAACGACACTTGATAAGTGAGGTATTTTCCTGCAATCTACGGTGCTCTTCGATGCCGGGCGAAAGACCCAGCGTCGGGCTGATTCTCGATCCTCCATCCTGGCCTTTTCGATCCATCATATTACAGATTAATAATTTCGCGTATATCGCCTAAGTTGGCGCCTAACCATACAAGTGCTTCTAAAGCTACCTGTCTTGAAGCCGTAGATAACAAAAACGAAATGAAGTTAGAAAGATGCATGCAGTGGGAAGAAGGAAAGAAATTATCAGCCCGCAGTTACTTTTCTTTAACCTACCGAATCCCCACCAAATGGTCTTGTTGGTTTCTCGTAATTGTAAAAGAAAACGGTAATAACCTGTTATTATGTGAACACAAACCCTTAGTCTCATCAACGTCTGTTAATCTAGCAAAAAAAAAAAAAGGACAGCTTCATTTGCATGTGCTGTTGGCATGCGACATGCACACATAAAATTGAGCCGACAGCTATCGACAGTATTTAAATGACATGTCTAGTGGGGGTGGACGTATTGTATCGGTTACTCTGAGGATCCTGAATTAGTGGAAGTGTTATTGAGAATCGTCAATGATATTACAGAGGACATGGCAGAATGGTGGTCGCTAGCAGTGGGTGGTGTTTATAGCAGGCCACTTGTAGGGCTAATTTTGCAGTGAAATATTTCTTACAGTCCATTTTTCAAACATGTACAGGCACCAATAGACTCTATATTTCACTGAAAACTACAAATTGGTGGGTGATGGTGTCATGACTGCTTTACAATATAAACATTATTTCATACCTTGGGTGCAAAGAATGGACGCCCAATGCTAATGTGTGGTGTTAAAGGGCAGCTCACAACTGAAGGAAGCACATTTGCTGTTTCTTCATAGGTCCAGGAATAAAATGCATCATTTGGTTGATCTCCACTAGAGTGCTTGTTTAGAGGGATTCATACATATTCAAGGAACTAGGAAGCAGCGCGAAACACAGGACAATCAAAGGGATGAACAGCGCTTGGTCCTTCTCGGTCATTGACCTGTGTTTCGTGCTGTCTCCGGTTTCCTTTAACTTAGTTGGTATTCTGCAATTCATAGGAAACCTATTCACCCACCATCTTCAACAAAGCCCTTAAAAAAAGGCACTAAACGAAAAGTGATCTTTGGCGTATTAGTAAATAGCAGTTTCGTAATACCGAATGCACACACTTACTGCAAGGAAGCGTTTGTCGAGCAAAAAATTTCACCCGAAGAAACTACGGGCAGCGACGCAGCCTTGAAGTTCTCACACCAGCTTACCATGACTTTGTATGTTTTGATGGCATCCCCAAAAGGGCCTATGTAATTACTTTTCGGTATATTTATTTATTTATTGTTCCAAGGAACACGAAAGTCTTACCATAGTCAATTCAATGAATCAATGTAGCCAAAATATGCAAAAATACTTTGTAATCCATGACATTACACTGATATTCATGTATTGAACTTATGGTGTGAAATTCCAGCACAACACTTTCATTCCATCCTCTACCTGATAACCTCGTGTCACAGAATTAATGACAATAGAGTTTTCAAAAGAATCATATATTCATCTAAACTGCTTTTATGTTTCACTAGAGTGTCCCTTTGAGAAACCAGGACTCTGATAATGTAATGATGCTATTCTATTCATTCTCTCAGCTTTTTCTCACTATAGATTCTATTCATTTTCTCACAGTTAAGATCAGTGTTAACATCGAAGTTAACACAGAGCAAGCGACGATGAGTGGCTGTTCAGAAAGGAAAATGGTCCGAAGTTGTCATAATGGTCAAGCCCTCAGTCCACGAGAAAATTACCAAGAGCCAATTTCACTTTTGTGACCAAGAGCCTATTTTACGTTCTTCATTTTTGTTGGGAGTGAAGAATGTTATTGTGTTGAAAAACTATGTGGACTAAGTATATTTAGACATAAGGAACAAAAATTTAGGCGTACATCCATCTGTGTGTTACCAATGACAGTACCTTCACTGTTCTTTTCAGATTTGACACGGACACTTGTCACATACAAAGTGGAAGGAGCGTGAACTGGAAAAAAGGCTACAGGAAGCAAATGCAGCCGCTAGAACAGTAATTACAAGCTTTGATCGTTCCAAGGTAAGTAGTGCTACGATAACAGAAATGGCGCTAAGCTTCATAAAATAATGACTCAAGGTCCCCAATTACCTCGGTTCTTTGATGGTTCATTATTAATGAACAGATCTAGACAAATCGACCTGCTGTTGGTTGTATGCTTTTAGCATTTGTAGCATAATTATAGGCCTCTGACTTCTAACTGATTAGCAGTTGACAACTTGCATGCATTTTCATACTGTGCACAATGTTTGACCACTTAGTATTATTTTCCATAATTTACTCTCAGCTTTTAGGCTCTGCACCAGTAAAAGCCACAAAGAAAGCACCGCGTCTCAAGCTTATGAAGTCAGCACCTTATAGCAGCTGTTGTAAAAAGAAAGGAGGTGACCAGGAGGGCACAAATGCCAGTGGTGAGTGCAGATTTTGTCTAGCTATAACATATCCTATAAGCTATGGTGCAAAGGTGGATTTGACATCTAGGCGATGCAGCCAGATTCTGATCACATATAGAAGTGCTTTCGTACAAAATTTTTGCGTACATGGTATTTAGATTCAGATGCCCCCATTCCCTAATGCGTAAAAAGGAAAAGGGGCTATGTATGCAAAAGAAAGCAGATGTGCACATTGGGCCATCATGAGCTTTCACATCGTTCACTCAGCAAAAGGTTAGGTGGTACTAAGGTCAAGGCTTAGAGGTCCCACCTAAAGTCCCTAGATTTTCTCTTTTACCTAAGTACCAACAACTGCCTCCTCTCCCGGTCCTCTCTCACAGGCAGCCAGTGTCTGCCACCATTTTCTTCTTAACTTGTGAAATTTACAAAGCCACGTATGTCTAAGTACGTTAGTCATGCATCCTTTCAGCAGACGCGGCGCACCTTTCTCCTCCAGTCAGTGCCCAGTCGTTAGAGAGGGTGGTGGGACACAGTTTCACCAGCTGCAGGCAAAGCATTAGAAAAACCATGGCTGTGAGTTTTGGCGATGGTGCTTCAGTGGTTGTCCATACTTAAGAATGAAGAGGGAAAGTCCCAGCTGTAAAGCTCCACTATAATTCATATTGACGTCATAGATTTTTATGGTCTGTTCTTGGTTTCACTCTGTGCTTGACTACTGTTCCAATGGTCTCAGAATCGAATCCTTGCTGTATAGAGTAAGGCGAGATTTCAGAAGGCTCGGGTGCTTCGATTTAAGTGAACGTTAAGGAACACTACAGGTGGTCAAAATTTCCGGAACCCTACACTGTGACGCCTCTCCTAATCATACCATGGTTTTTGCATATGAAACCAGATTAGCTGTATTGTTACAAGTCATGAAAGGTTTATTGAGAATGCTTTCATCTTCGGCACCAGCTGTACATCTCGCTCAGACAAAGATCGCTGGGTGGGTTGGGTGTTTTTTCATTGTGTGTATGGCTTTAGCCAGGTGACATAGGTAGCTTGATGTCTTGGCAGAATGTCACATTATATTTGTAGGTTTATCTATAAGTTCACTGTTTTTAATAGTAGGCTACATTGTATTGTAAAGAAGCCAATGACTTTAAACTGTATTTTAAGTAACTTTGATTTTGGAATAACTATAAAAAAATGCAGGAAAAATTCATCATGTGGGGTCCCATTCACTTACGTATGCTGCTCTTTCATGTGACATTCACAAGCGTAATTGACATTTCATCTCTTTTAGTCAGCCTAGTTGGCACAAAATATAGGAATGTGGAATTTCAAAAGACTGCTGTAATATTGATGTATTCATTTGGGAGTAACTGCCAGTCATGTCATGAGAGTGAAACTACCAGAAAAAGTTAGAATAGTGTGGAGCACATTAGGCAAGCATTCTCAGATCATGATTTATGGTCTACCACTATCCCACAAGAGGAAGGTACGTAACATATGCATCTTACTCGTACTTACCTAAGGATGAACTTGGAGGCTTACAAAGATGGTTCAACTTAAATTGAGGATGGTGCAGCGAGCGGTGGAGAAGAAAGTGATAGGTGTAACCTTAAACTAGACAGGAAGAGATCAGAGTTGGTCAGGGAATGAACAGGGGGTTAAGGATAACATAGTGTAAATCAAGAAGAAGAGGTGGACATGGGCTGGGGCGCGTAGGCAGGATAACCGATGGTCGATAAGGGTAACTGACTGGATTCCCAGAGAATGCAAAGGCACGAAGGGGAGAGAGAAAATTAGGCGAGCTGATGATAATAAAAAGTTTGCAGAGGTATAACGTGGCAGCAGAAAGCACAGGACCGGGTTGATTGGTGGAACATCAGGCGTAGGGTACCCTATGTAGGGCAAAACATTTGCCCTGCAGTGGGCCTAGTTAGGATGGTGACCGTGATGACTGTAACAATGCATGGTAATTTCACATTTCATTTTCTTCATCATAATCATCATATTTTATGTCCAGTGCAGAATGAAGACCTCTTCCAATTATTTTCAGCCCAGCCTGCCCTGCATGAGCTGATTTTCTTTCACTGCCTGCAAATTTGTTTTGTTCCTCCACCAAACCCTTTGCCATCCTTGGCCAAGCTCTACATCTCTTATTTTGAGCTTTCTTTTACGTTACACGAAAAGCTATTATGAGATCACAACGAGGGTCGTGTGTGGCATATTTGTCTGCCGCCGCCGGTGTCCATAACCACTGTCGTGCAAAATAAGAAAAAAAGCTTAGTAAATAAAAAATGCCATAGACATAATGGGATTCGAACATAGATACACTGCGTGCCAACCTCGCATTCTGCCGCAGAGCCACACCAGTGCTTAAAACTCCATTGTAAACTGGCTTTAGGCAGGCTTTATGTTAGGAAAGGAAATGTGTACTTATGAGTTATAAAGCATTTTAGAGCTGCAAAGGAACAGGCATCACACAATGCAAATAGCATTATGAGTGGGTCATTGAATGTTTCAACCCATTATCAAGGCTTCAAGCATAATATTCATCGTCATCAGCCAGAGCACCAGAATATTGCACGAATTTTCTTGCAGGTGTATAGTGGATACCACACCACAGTTCTCCGAAGAATGTTGAAGGATGGAACAAAAGTGTTTGAAAAAGGCTATGAGAGGCGGCTCTTCCAGCTTTTTCTGTGACTGTGCTGTGCATTCTGAGCAGGGCTGGCGGTTTTTCTCTTAGAAATTTGTTGTGACAATTTGGCACATCCAAGCTGAAATTAAAGTTCTACATGGATGAATTTCTGTGATATTGGTGTAATAAACACTGATAAAAACACCTGTTACAAACAGCAATTAATTTTGCACATTGTATTTTCACCCTTAGGCAATAAATGAGGCAAAGACACCAGCTGTTTCGCAAAATGCAGAGAACCCTTTAGTCAAGGCATACATCAAGAAAACCCAGCGAAAAAACAGCTTCACTGCTGTCGTTGAACAAAGCAAGCGCAGCAGTACGACACCGTCTTCCGGAAGTCTGTGGCTCAGGTGACAGTAGTCAAAGGTGCGACAATGGTGAAAGCACAGCGCGACCAAAGAAGACTGTATATAAGGATGTCAAAAAAGATCTTACTCAAGAAGAGGCCAAGGAGAAGGCGAAAGCGCAGTACTTTCTCAACTTGCGAATGTGAGTACAACTGCCCCTTGTATCTTACTGCACTGAATTAGTTGCTGTGTCATTTTGCTACATGAGCACTCGTTAACTTCCCAGCCATGCCATCTGTAGTAGACTAAGGTATCACAGCAGAGTTGCTGGTGATTATAGCATCCAAAGGTGTAGAGCATCCAAGTAGGAAAAAAGCAAAAGACACATTCCATGCAAACACAGCACCAGTAACACTATGACCATTTTAATGTTGAAGTGCAATTTATCACCATGTTTGGTAGCATATGCATCAGTAAACCACTCATATCTCAATATCAGCTAAATAAATATGACATCTGAGAGTGACATGAAGAGGTGCATCAGACCTGTGACTTTTTTGCACATGTCTTGCTACGCTCCAGTTATGGCGCATATTTACAGTTGATCCTCTGACTAAACTATAAGTTAGCATTGCTATATGTGTGGTACATGTCTCTTGGTTTGTCCCATTTTATGTACTATACCTCGGATGTAATGCCATCTGTATTTTGATGCCAGTAAACTGCAAAAAATGCCAGTTTGCATCGATTTTGCTTGTTTATTTGAAAATTGCGGATGTTCAAAATTAAACCTGAATTCTCTACAATGCTACCCATGAAAACCCATTTTGCTATTTTGAAATGATAAACCACGAAGTTCAATTAGGTAAGCATAGCTGCCACTACATAGCAATGAGCAACAGCGTTTGGTGGTTTCTCGACTACTCGTTATAACAGCAGCGGCAATGCAGTTTGTAAGCAAACAAAATTTCTCTTGATTGCACCTTTTGTAAAGTAAGCCAGCTGAGTGACCAACATGCAACATCGTCACCATATTGAACAGAGCACAAATTTCCACTCGGAAGTCATGGTGGGGCAAGACAGACAAGGAACAGGACATGACGAACACTACATTCTTTTGTGCTGCATGTGTAAGCCAACTTTCACAAGAGGAAGTATTACTGATAGGCAAAAACTCCTCTTGTGGACTCATAAGTAATCCTGCACTAGAACACTTGTGCCATCTGTCTTACTAGTGCTAGGCTTGGCCTCCAGTGCAGCATGTGCAATCAAAGGCCGGCAGGCTCTTCAGGAGATGCAAAATTGTTGTGTGAAAGCATCTTTTCATGAAATTTAAGCAGCTCCAAAAGGGAAACTCAAAGAGAAGTTGGAGTTCTGCTTGTAACCACGTGCAACTCCATGTATTGAGCAGCCTGCATTTTAAGTATTTGGCATGAACTTCCCCCTTTCACGAAAATGGAAGTTCTATCTTCATTTCGCTTCTGTAAACAGAACACTAAGTGTGCTGTGTCTGGAACAGATCATTACTCAAGTCTTCATGTTTTGATACATACATAATAATCCTTGAAAAGACAAGTATGCTTGCCATCTACAAATTCATGTCTGTATAAATGTGCCTGTTGGGAGGGGGTCAGAACTTCCCAGACCACTATCCCATGTATTCCTATGGCAGCGTGACCTGGGATATTTTGACCCCCCCCCCCCCCCCCCTCCTGTACATGTGCATTCGTCAGCAAGCTTTACACGAGAATGCTCCTCAGTGCGCCTTGAAACAGTTTAATGCTAGTGCCACGTAGCTATGGGCTCTGTTGATGAGATATTATTCATGCATGGTGACATACTACTATGCAAGCATACTGAGTTATTATCTCTGCAAAAGTGCCCAGCATTCCGCGGCTGGCATCAGTCAAATTTGTCCAGATCACGTGTCAGAGCATTCATGTTAAGCTTGCTGACTACTTTCCAAATTCGCCAACAGCTTATAAGCTAGCACCACTTATGCCTGTGCAAACGTGTACAGTGTAAATGGCTATAGGTAATGTGGCACTAGGTAATGTGGCTTAAGGTAAAAGTGACACTAGTTGACCCCATTCAAGCCAAATCCTGCTCACATGCATTAATAATTAGCCAAGGAAATGTCTCGAAGTGGTTGGGGGGTGCAGTTGCAGTCCTAGCTCCAGCTGGTACTGCAGCACATGCATAATGTGGACATGAGGTTGTATCTTTTTAGTGCCGACCGAAGCGTTGTAGGTGGGTACTCAGTCCTCAGCTGTGCTCACCGCCACAGTGGTCTATAGCGGTTATGGCTCTCGACTGCTGACCCGCAGGTCGCGGGATCGAATTACGGCTGCGGCGACTGCATTTTCGATGGAGGCGAAAATGCTGTAGGTCTGTGTGCTCAGATTTGAATCCACGTTAAAGAACCCCAGGTGGTGGAAATTTCCGGAGCCCTCCACTACGGCATATCTCGTAATCATATGGTGGTTTTTGGACGTTAAACTCAACATATCAATCGTAGATCGAATCAGTCCTCATCTGTGTGGAAATTGCTTCCTTTATGGTTTAATTGCACCATGGATAAACACTGTTAGGGAGCCAGAGGTGCTCAAACTTGGTTTGGGGTCTCCCACTACAGTGTGCCTCATATACACACTGTGTTTTTAGTCATTACTAGAACAATTGCCGTTTGAATAAATGCTGTAATATAAGAAGCAATTTGATTTTTCACTTTTGAGACAGCATACAGGAGCATCTGTGATATTTAAGCATATTCACAAAAGGCAACATCTGTTGCTGCTACTGAATGTGATAGGCTTTTCACAAAAACTGATGGAATCTGTTACTCACTGACATTGCTTTGTTCAGCATGCAGATTTGGCCGACAGTGCTTTAGTTTACTTCAGCCTTGTGCACAAGCATGTAGCAAAGTGACATACTCTACTTCAGAGCCTTTGTTCATGGCCTGAAATAGTATGTTCTTGAAGAAATGGCTGATGGTAAACAACTCCATTGGTGTTTTTTCAAGCTATTGTAGAACTTTTCAGACTATCATAATGGCATTAAAGATGTCTTGCAAACTACTCGTTCATGAGCACATTATCACCATTTTCTCTGTCATTGCTTGTACTGTGCACATATATATATATATATATAGACGGACTATTTTAGCAAGGTAAGAAAAGCAGTCTTTTGTAAACCCAAAAGTGTTTTCACTGTGCTTTAAACACTGTCACCATGTCCCAGCTTTGTATAATTTTTGCTCAAGGAGACTAATATCCTCATTAAGTCAAATCTTTGTGGCTGATTATTGCTATCGGAATAGTTCTCTGTGCCTGATAGTAGTAGAGCTAGCAAATGCAGCTGTAATAAGAGTATATGCAGTACAGGTTATGTAATTATAATTGCAGCAGAGGAATGCGAGCAAATGGCTTCAAAGGCAGAATCTTCTGAAACAGCTATTTTATGAGCGCAATAGAAAATGAGTGGGAAACTCACATATAAACAAGAATAAGTGCTTTACCGCTCATATTCTTGATGGATGAGGTGTGGAAGCGTGTAGCAGATGGCCCGTAAATTCAGGAATGTCCTAGGAGCCTGGGCTTTTCCCTCAACCCAAAACATACATGAGGGGGGTGTTTTATTGAAAATGAATGAGGAAGATACATGTTTTTTTTTAAATAGTCAAGGCCAGCAAGTTCCTCCCCCCATTCCTCTAAAAAAAAGATAATTCTGGCTACAGGCCTGCGTAGCAGTGATAAAGGGCAGCCGTATCTTGAGCTGATGATACATGTTTTTGTTCACAGGTCTGGCTGGAAGCTGGACAGAGATGGCAAATGGGTCAAAGACGAGAATGTCGAGTTTGACAGTGACGAAGAGGAACCTCCGCCTTTTGTCGATGAAAGTGGGGATTCCGGATCATGATATCTGCTGAAGTTTGAGTGTGTTCATATCTGAAAGAGCGATTAGGCGCAGTACTAAGTGGGGCAGTGGAAACGAAGGCGATAACTCACTCAACTTGTCCCATTAAAGGGTCCCCAAAGAGAAACAATGAGTCTTTTCATATTGATGAACTGTACTTTGAGAACAATGTCAGAAATATCACTGCCATAAGTTCATTATCAGCGGAGAAGTTGAAGTTTCTGTTTTAAAATTTCGCGCCGTAATCTGGCGTAAGTGGCGTAAGAAATTCCACGATGTTTTTTTTTTTTTCGTATTTTCGTGGCATTGGCTCGATAAAATTTTCTGAGACTTCGTATGCTTTGTCTATGGCACCCACAGATTATACTGACCTTCAATTTTATTTATTAGAAGCTTCATAGGACCCAGTAGGCGACTTCGAAAATTAATAACGTCACAGTATTTGGTGCGGGAATCCCAAGGTGGCGTCTCCACGCGCAGTTTCTTTTCGCGCTCTTTTTCGCTTACCAAGTGTGTCGCGGTAAGAGTGGAGTTCTCGCGATGGTGAAATCGTACTTTACTAATACGCGAAAAAGCCCTCTGCTCTTTAGTGTCCCTTTAAGTGTTGCTTGTACATATTTGATGATTTTGTATTAAAGAGATTAATTGACAAAAGTGTGTCCTCAGACGTGTTTCTCGTGCTCATGGCACGTTCTTCATAGATACGTTGGGTTCTCAATTTCTTCACTTCTTGCTCAATTCGCATGTTTTGACGCCTGGCACGATTGCACGCTTCTGCCACGCAATAATAACGCGGTAACGCTAAACAGCTCGTTTCACGAAAATTCCGGTGACGCTGTCTTTGGTTGCGATTCAAATATTGTCATCTCGTCCGTGACCGAAAAATCAAGGAAGGCGCACATAAATCAGAATAATAAAAATCTGCGGTTCGGCTGATAATTAAACTAGGGACGTCTGCGCGGGAAGGTGGTGTTCCACCACAAAGCCACGCTATTGCTTGAACCTGCTTCAGAAAAATAAAACTATATGAATGTGTTGTTGGGAAGTCTGCGTGGCAGAAGCGTAGAATCGCGACAGGCGTCAAAACATGTGAATCGCGCAACGAGCGGGTGTTTTGAAGGCCCGCTTATGACGGAGTGCTCAGGCACATTTGATCATCTTCAGCTGCAAAAGCATCAACCATGGTAATGTCAACAAAGCGAGCAGCTGCGTAGGTTCACGTGTGGCCCTACGGATTTGTAGTGGGCGTTTACCAGCAGTGCACTACTTCCAGTAGGCATTCTATAGTAGTTTGAAACGGCCATTGTTACTCGCGCACAATCCTTGTGGCTAGGCATGCACCGAGAGTCGAGGCAAGCCAGTTAAGAAAGGCGACGCCCACGGTGCCCCATCGCTCTATCGCGTTCTACTCTTGAAGGCGAAATTGAAGCGTGCTCCAAGTTTTTATATGCGTTAAGGAGGCTCCTTCTTCTACATAACCCTCACATACTGTTTTTTTGCTGAAGCGGTAGCGTAACTTTGGGGTACTTAATGATTGATTGATATGTGTGGTTTAGCCTACCGAGACCACCATATGATTATGAGAGACGCCGTAGTGGAGGACTCCGGAAATTTTGACCACTTGGGGTTCTTTAACGTGCACTCAAGTCTGAGCACACGGGCCTACAGCATTTTCGCTCCCACCGAAAATGCAGCCTCCGTAGCCGGGATTCGATCGCGTGACCTGCAGGTCAGCAGCCGAATACCTTAGCCATTAGATCACCGTGGCGGAGCGTAGCTTTGGGGTAGAATATTCGCTTGCCTCGAGGACGTTCTGGGCTATTCTTACTCGAACGGAATATTTTTTATTATTTACTTTATTGTCATCTTCCCCGACCTTTCGGAAACGTGCAAGATGGTGATTACTGACCCACTACCACCGACGATGGAATTTCTGCGAAACGAGCTCTTTAACGCTGTCACATTAAAAGGAGTTGGTGTTTATTCTCACATATGGCTCACGACTGTACTTCTGTTCACTCTGTAGATGACAGACCTGTCGAAATTTCATACCCTTGGCATTATTACTCCCTCTGAAAATTTTACTGGCCCGTTCGCATAGAGAAAAGGAAAATGGTATTCGTGTAAATCCAGAACACTTGCAAAAATAATAATAATAAATAAAAAAGGCTATCTAACGGTGATCATTGTGTATCACAGAAGCGTCCGGAGAAATGGCTGAGTGACGCCAAATCCCTGACATGATTCCACTCAAAACATATCACGTGCTTCGAGTTAAAACGGCTTGTGCATGAAGTTAGGGAAGTCGTGTCTATGACAAACGCTACAGTGGTGTGCTCCCTGAATCGCGCCGCGTGCGATAAAGCTACATGGCGTGAACACGTCAATCTGCCTACGCTGCAATACGCCTACGCTGCGATACGCTTCAGAAGCGCTTGCGCTGCGTTTTTATGCATGTCCAAACTATACGCAATCTTACTTTTGTATGTATATTGTAGCGAAACGTCGGGGTTGTTTAAAGTTAGGCGCATCGGAAGACCAGGGAGACGAATAAGTGTGGGTGAAACTCCGCGGAGGCAATCGATGAGAAGTCAACACGATGATTTCGGGGAGCACTCATTGGGGGTTTATTTAGCTAACGCAACTTCAATTTACAAAATGCACTAGGTCACAAAGACAAAACATAGAAAATGGTGGCATACCCCTCGGCTAGCATGACTGGTCTCCGGTGGTGAGATGCGCTGTTGACCCCGACTCCGCTCTCTTCAAAAAGAGCCCGAGTCGCTGCTTAAATAGGGTTTTTTTTTTTTTAGCGTCCCCGGTTGCACGGACCAATCAGGCAAGCCGAGGATAATCAAATCAACATGAATTTTCGTGGGTGCCTGAAGCCTGCCTGTTTCGCGACAACTGTGGCAGCTTCTGGAGACGGTTGCATTTTCTGAAACGGCCTTGACGAGCTGACAAGCGCTCAAATTTCGGCCCCGTTTTGCCCCTGAGGACCGAAAATGTGGCTCGCTTGTTTGAAGTGTGGGGGGCACAGTGGTTAGGAGAAGGAGAAAGGCACCTAATTTCTGCAGTCTGGTCCAAAGCACGGTGTGGTGCCTGCTTTGGCGCGAAGCGCACAGTGACCGACCAGACGCGGCCCTTTCTGTTCAGACTCATTCTTCCTCAAGGCGCGCTCCCCGAGACAAGTTAAACGGCAGTCGCTAACAAGGGCATCTGGCAAGGAACAAGCTCCAGCTGTAGCTGAAAAAGAACAAAGTTTTCTGCGAGACATTGCCCTCGCGACAAGTACATTGACGTCATGCCTTTCAAGGGCATAATCCTACTTTGAGTATCAGGGGGCGTAGGCAAAGGTCGGAAGGGGGGAGTGGGGGTAAACACCCCGAAAATTTTCGGTTTTGCTTGCGTGTACATATACAAACGCCCGCACGAACCTACGTAAAGAATGGTTGAACCCCCGCCCAGAAACAAATTTCTGGCTACGCCCGTGTTCAGGAATCTTATAGACCACACAATGTCTATAGTCGGTTACAACCTAAGCACAAACGCAAGCTTCGTTCTCAGCCGTCGCTGTCCCACCCCATCCAATTGAATTGGCTCATTTTTGTGACCGTCAAGCGCGATACGCGGATATCAGATCGGTGGTTTTCTCATACAGACACATGTTAATGCCGCTGGCTTTCCATCACAAACTTGAACACTTGCAAGTTTCAGCAAATATTTTGACATCGCTGCTCTGGTAAGCGCAATATGTTGAGCAGAGACGACCAACGCGTAATTACAGAGAAAAGGTGACTTATTAACGGTCAATTATTGATAAGCGTAGTGTTTACATTAATGACAAAAAAATACTGATGAGTATACGATGAAAACCACCTACATAGCACTACTCCCTTGAACACGTACATGATTGGCAGGCGCATCGCTGTATACACTGGAGGCGAGACTTGTATTTTGTCTTAGATTGATCTTACACTGTCGGCTGGAGATGGTTTCGCCTATGTTAAGCTCGCCGTTATTGGCCGAGGCGAAGCTATAGTAGCTTTGACAATGCTGCGCACTTTTACCGAGAGCACACACGGATGCAATGCACGGGCGATATCCGTAATCTTTGGCAGCCGCGCGAAACGGGAGACGTCTCGCACGAGGCCGTCATATCAGCGTCGTCGCTGAGAGGCCATTGTTTGTTCGATTCCTGGACCGTGAAGTGCTTCGCGCTACGCTCTCACCCACAGAGTGCGAGCCCGAAGCAGCCATCCTTTCGTCTCGGGATCGCTTCGGCTTACACGTACCGGCCGTTGCGATCGAACCGAGTGCCGTTGACGGTTTGCGCTGGGTTCGCATTTTGTCCGCGTGCGACGGTGTACGATGCAAGTACCCTGGCAGATCGTTTTTTTAGCGGCAGCCGTGTGCGTGGTGCCGATCTCTGCGGACTATGCCTACGAGACCCGCTACTTCGAGACAAAGGTGAGACGGCGCTCTATACACGTTATGTCTTATGAGGCACATTGCGCGACCAAGGAAACAAGGGGGCTGGGAAGAAGTGGAAACAGTATAGGTAACGATTGTGCTCTCTCTATTCCTCTCTCTCTATTCAGTATTTCTAAAATAGATCGGGAGGTCTCAGGGTGGAGGGCTTTCGACAAAGCTTGAAGGAGTGGGTAGACGGATCATCACACCTCTCTCTCAAATATTATGACATACATACATACATACATACATACATACACACATACATACATACATACATACATACATACATACATACATACATACATACATACATACATACATACATACATACATACATACATACATACATACATACATACATACATACATACATACATACATACACGCATACATACATACACACATACATACATACATACATAACGTAGCTTTTGGCTCGAAATAAACACGACAGATGGACCAAAAACTACGTAAGAATGAATCAACTAGCCTAACAAGTCACTATGCTGAAACACATACATAGCGTTAGCGTTGGGTTCATATTGTCACGCACCAAGAGCCGTGAAGACAAGACAGGAACAGCGGGGCAGAAAGACACGAGCGTGTATCTTTAAACGAAGCGCTAACACACACTCCTTCTTTGTTCTCTTCTCCCTTTTCGGCTCGCTAGGGCTTGCCGGCACACAACTCTAGGTGGCATTATTCCCCCTCCCATTAGAGCATCGACTCGATGCTCATACACAAGGTGACAGCAGGGCCCATAAGGGAATAAAAAGAAAGGAGAGAAACAATACTTATAGTGCACAGGGCATATGCAGGTGCAAAAAAAGAAAATGTCTGTGGTTGGTCATAAGAAAAAAAAACATTAATACAGTTCAAAGTTCGTTCGAGACCACCGAAAAAAAAAATGTTTGCTGCCCTGGCACAATAAGGCGAGTATTACTGCGTAAAATAAGGTTTTAAGCGGACGACATGCACAATCTCTGTTCGTGGTGAGTGGCGCTGGGTCGTTGCCGAGCCTCCGTCTGGAATGACTTCGTAGTTGACCTCGTTCAACCGCCGTAATACTTTGTAGGGTCCGAAGTACTTGCTCAGGAGTTTCTCGCTGAGACCTCGCCGTCTAACAGGAGTCCAAACCCACACTTGGTCGCCAGGTTGATAGGTAACTGGTCGATGGT